CCCCAACCCCCCACATAAGCCCCAGGCAACCATTAATCTCCTTTCTATCTCTCAAAATCTGCCTTATGGACAGTTCATATAAATGAGATCATAGTATGTCGTCATTTGTATCTGGATTCTTTCACTTAGCATTGGTTTCAATATTTTAAAATTAAGGTATAATTACACATCATAAAATTCAGTAAAGTATGTTCTTTAATTCTTGGTCACAAAATTTCACAAGGATGTATTAAGCATTTTTTTCCTCATGCATTCTCTTGGAATTTGATAAGCACCTGGTTCTCTTCAGCTCTGTATCATCTGTATCATTTTAAACATTTTGTTCTTGCTCTGTTTTCTTTGTAATTTTTTTTCCTGAAATGCCTACTGGTTAGTTTGGTTCTCCCTTTTATCTTTGCTCTCTTCTTTTTGTCATTTTGTATTTATCTCTAAAGTCAATTTCCTTAAAAAAATTTTTTGAGTCAGGGTCTCTGTTGCCTAAACTGGGGTGCAGTGGCATGATCATGGCTCATTGCAGCCTCTAACTCCTGGGCCTAAGCGATCCTCCTACCTCAGCTTCCTGAGTAGCTGGGACTAAAGGTACATGCCACCATACATGGCTTGTGCGTGTGTGTGTGTGTGTGTGTGTGTGTGTGTGTGTGTGTGTGTGTAGACTAGGTCTCACTATGTTGTCCAAGGCTGGTCTTAAACTCCTGGAGTCAGTCAATCCTCCTGCCTCAGCCTCCCGATGTGCTGGGATTACAAGCATGAGCCACCATGCCAGGCCTGATTTCCTTGATTTTCTTTTTTTAATTCATAATATTGTAAAATTTGGAAGTTATATTTTCATTGTATAAGAGTTCTTTCCTGTTTTCTGTTCATTTTTCATGGCATCATGTTTTGGTTCGATTAATTCATTATCTTTTTGAGACATTTTGAGTATGCTACATAAGGAAAATTTAGGCGAGATGGGGTGGTTAATACATGCAATTCCAGGTGCTCAGGAGGATAAGGAAGGAGGATCACTTGAAGCCAGGAGTTCGAGACTGCACTTGTGACACTGTACTCCTGCCTGGGTGATGGAGCAAGACCCTGACTGAAAGAAAGGAAGCGAGAGTGAGAGCCAGACATTATTTATCTTTGGTTTCCTAAATTTTTTGCTTCTTCCATAGTCCGCTGGAATATCTGGCCAGCCTATTCTATTTATAGGTGGGGCAGGAGGGGGTGGAGGAGGAGAGGAAGAACTGGTAGAGTTTTTCTGCTCCACAAGTTGACTCTCAGTAAATCTCTCTGTGTAGGGTCTCCTTACCCACTCCAAGTCTCTGAAGGGTTCTGCTTTGTTTCTTCCTTTGAGTTATGGTTTCCTTCTCCACAACATGGTATAAAAGTTAACCATTAGATCATGGAAACAATACCTAGGTTGAAATCCCATCTTGGCCACCTATTACTTTTGTGACCTTAGCCAAATTTAAATATCAGTTTCACCTGTAACATGAGAATAAAAACAATAACTTCACTGAGAGTTTAGGTTCATAAGATAATGCATAGCTAGTATTTGGCTTGGTGACACATAATTAAATTTTCATTTAATACTTATCAGTATTCATCAAAAGCCTCCTCACCTCCTGGAACTTTGTGGAAATCATTCATCTTTGGTAAATCCCTTCCAGAGCTCTATTGTTATTGGCTGCTATGATCTGAATGTGTTCCCGAAAATTCATGTGCTGAAACTTAATGGCCTGTGTGGTAGAATTAAGAGGTACAATAGTGCTCTTTTGCAGTCCTAGCTACTCAGGAGGCTGAGGCAGAAGGATCACTTGAGCCCAGGATTTGGAAGCTGCAGTGAGTTATGATCATGCCACTGCACTCCAGGCTGGGTGACAGAGGGAGACTCTGCCACTTAGAGAGACAGAGAAAGAGCGAGAGACAGACAGACAGACAGAAGTGGGCCTGTAGATGATTCAATCAGGAGGGCGGAGGCTTTAGAGATGGGACTAGGACCTTCATCAAAGGGCTTGAGAGAGTGGGTCCCCTCTCTTTCACCATGTGGGGTCACAGAGATGTTGTCATCTCTGTGAGATGGGCAATGAGGCCTCAGGAGACATAGAACCTGCTAGCGCCTTGACCTTGACCTCCGAGCCTCCAGAACTGTGAAAAAAATTAATCTGTCCTTTACAAATTAGCCAGTTTCAGGAATTTTGTTATAGCAGCATACTAAACAATAACTTATTCCTTTTTACAATATCTATGCTTTCATGTTAACAGGATCTTCAGGGGTGAGAGAAAAATGTATGATGCAGTTTAGTTGCATTGAACAGAACGTCTTTGAAATCCATTTATATTTAAAACTATTACATACACACAGTATTCCTCTCATTCTGGTCCCACACCAGCCTTTAAATGGGATATTTCTAATGTCACCTTTAAATAGAGAACGCTCTTGTTCTGTTCATGAAGTTTGTATAAATATTGGGGTCCATAAATAACGTTACAAATCCATTGGGATCATTGCTTTGTCAGATTGGTTTTACAGCTACAGCTCTGGTCCGGTGGGGCGCGTGCAATTCCCTACTTCCTGATAGGTGGCGCCCCAGAGAAGGGCAAAGCACAGCGCGCCCTGCTGGCGCAGGAGAGACCCCCCTCCAGCAGGGGGCGTGGCCCGGGTGGGATGGATCTCGGCGGGCCTTACGCAACGTCAGGGGCGGGAACGACTCCGGTCCCGCCCCTGCTATCTGAGGTGCCCTGTGATTGGAGGAGGGAAC